TAGATAGATAGATAGATAGATAGATAGATAGATAGATAGATAGATAGATAGATAAAAATGTCTTTCTAATGCATTACCACTTAAGAATATAAGAACTCTGCAAGACATGAGCCAAGTCCTTTTCTCAAGTTGTTGGCCAGTTGCCTTTGGGAGGTTCACAGTATGATGGGAAGGCGGTAATGCTGTTCAGCAACCACCATTCAGCGGCATATGGCTTTTGATATTAAGTGTAATATATACCTGATTAGAAGACAATAATCTTATCTCACATGAGTTTTTCATACCGTATCTTCTTTTAAAATGGGCTAAGTTGGTGGCTATCATCATACATTATACTCAGAATGCTAGATGTGAAGAATTACTTCATCAGTAGGTCTTGAGTCTTCAGTGGTTTGGCTCTTGTTTATAAAGAGAATAATAAAAAACCTTTATTCACACTGTCAATGGGGCACATAATTCTGTATAGGTTTAGCATTCTCCCACCATCACGCACCACCTTATTTAACCAAAAGGACCCAGTTTAAAATGCCCTTTGAAGACATCAGGTGTGAATTTCTGCAGGTATCTATAAAATATTTCATATTAGAAAGAACTAAGCCTGGCTGTTTGTGGGCAATTCTGCTTACAGATGTTGTGGGCATGTATATGCACACATGGACCTGTACTGTACAGAGAGTAATACTCAGCTGTAACTTCCACTTCTAGTAGGATTTCAGAACACCAAGGGGGAAATGCAGCATGGAATTAACTTGGCAGGGCTGCCTCCCACATTGCTCAGGAACCATGGGGTTAGGGATTTCTCCAGATAGTCATCACCAAAGTAAAGCAGGAAAACTCCATGTGAAAGTGACTCCTAAACTATGATAGTAACACCATGCCATCCACATTTTGTCAGGTAACCTTCTCATCTTATAACTATTACATATAATTTTTTTCTGTAAAAGTAATTTCTGCAGCAGATTGCAACACTTAGTCAACCTTGGTTAATCTGAAAAAAACTAAGAAGGGTTGGACCTGGTTAGTGCTTGGATGGGTGACCATTAGGCATTCCCAGGCACATTGTTGTAGGCTAGACAAGGAAGTTAATAATACTCTGAAAGAAGGCAGTGGCAGTGGCAAATTGCTTCCATACTGCTGCCAAGTGTGATATGTGAACTGGGTTATACTGTGAGTATGCTCTCTATCTAAGATTCAGAACCAGTAAATTGGGAATGATTATTTGCTAGGGAAACAGCAGCCACTACAAGCTGATTTCTCCAATAATCCACCTTGGAACATTTTCTACCCTTCCCATGAAAAGGGATAGGAAATAATTATATAAGCTGTACAGATGAAATGCAATGGAATCTCATATGCTGATGTGCAATTCCTCTGTAATATCTGGTCAATGTCATCTTTCCCCTGGTGGCCAAATGTTCGGGAGGAGGGGCTTTTGTTAAATTCATATGTGCTCCTTGTGGGCCTGACCTTTGGATGCTAGAAAAATTAGAAAGTTAATTGAAGTCAGTTGAATTGTTTTCAGCTAGCATTAGAGACCCAGTAGGTTTATTACATTGTGATAATAGAGATTCATTATTATCCAATCTCAATTTCATTTTGATATGGGAATTTGGTTTCCGTTTGAGCTTGCATTTGGCAAATAGTCTTTGATTATACATGGTTAATGAATTATTTCTTGTTGCATGTCTTTGTAAAATTATTTGATACATTTGCTCTTTTATTCATTTTTTCCATTTTTTTCTTTTTTAAGGAATCCATGGTTATAAATTTAAAGGATGGGCAGTCAATATTTTAAGTCCTTATTTTGGAAAAGTATTGCAGTAATATTTGGTACATTATTTGTAATGCCACATAGACTTTGCAGCAGTCCATGTATTAGAAGAACCTGGCTTGAAGACACATGACATAGATAACCTTGCTGAATCTAGTTCTGGCAAGGGCCTAGATGGGAACCTGCTTAGGAATCCTGCATAGGCCACCTTGGGAGTGCTCTCATGGAAGAACAGTGACCAATAAAAAGTAATACGTTGCATGTCTCTAAGGGAAATTATGGTGGTTAACAGCTTCTGGCATTCAGAGTTTGAAGATCTTAGACGCACATTTAAAACAAAAACCAAAGGAAAGCAAGTTAGCCATTGCAAAACTCTGACAACTGTATTAGGACAATGAGTTAATTCAGCTAATTCAGAATCACAAATGAGTGCCACTTTTGAGTTCTCAAGAACTCAGAAGGGAGGATGGCATCCACAATGGCAAAAGAAACTCGGGGAGAGAAGTTTAAGTCTACATTCAGTGCCATCTGAGGTAACTCATCATACTGAGCCATGCATTTTAAGCAGTTGATTGAAGAAACTATAGTAAGTTACTTCTCACAGTGCTAACCATAAAGCATGGCTTATAAACAGCCAGTGGTTGGGTCTATATGCCATGTCAACCTAAAAATAAACACATTATGTTATAGCTTAGTGTAATTTGTGAATCCAACCATAGACTTAGATGAAAGGGTGGGAATAGGCTGCCAGTACTGAAATCAAGCTCAAGCTTGATTATCTTCTCAGGAAAGTATTTTGACAAGCATAGATATTGTCTTTTCTCTAATCAAACAAATCAGTTTGGCCATTTCAGTGAGTTCTGACATCTTCACCAACCATTCCTCTGTTGTAAGTATTGCCAGATCTTTCCATCTTTGTGCATACAATAATCTTGCTGCAGTTACCATATTTAAAAACAATGTTCCTTGACTTTTCCCCCAACTGTTTATCAGTCCCAAGAGGAAAAGTTCTGGTTTCAGTTGAAGTTAATCTTTAAAATCCTCTGAATCACTATCTACATTTATTGGTGACTAGAAACCCCTTACGGACTTTTTGCGTGAAAGAGAAAAAAATGAACTTGTGATTTATGGTTTTGATGATTAGATAGGATAGTTTATGGAAAGAAGAGAGTCATCGTATAACTTTGGAGAGAGAGAGGTCAATTTATAATTGTAGTTATAACTGCTGTAAAGATCAGAAGCCGCTTCTTTATACCTCTTTTTCTGTCTTTTCTATTTTTCTGCTACTTTTTCTTTTTGCACTTTTTTCTTTTTTCAGTCTATTTTAGTTTGTATTAGTCTTATTCTTGTGTTTA